GTATGTGGAAAATAATGTGTTTTTTTAACCTTAAACCGCATAAACACATTTCATTACACCAAATACACCAAATCATTTTTAGCAGCATCATATGACCCCTTTAACACAAAAAAGAAGACCACTCCATTATCTTACATGAAGAGTCACAAGTCAAGTTGTGTCTGTGATATTACTGTATCTCAAATCCATGCTTCACTGTATTTTCCTGGGATGTGAAGTCATCTTTCCCCTTTTCTATTGGTAATAAACCCAGACTCTTCAGATACTGTGTACTGCTGTATCACATAACATATCCAGCTTTGTGACTACGCATGTTCCTCTCAAGTTAATGCCAGTTCCTCACACCACCAGTTATTCTGCTGAATAAGTTAAGCTGCAGAATAACTGGAGTGGTCTTTTTCTCATTCTCCAATGGTGTTAAACCCAGAGTCTTTAAAATCATGAGGATGTGAGAAGATCCAAGCAGATGATCTTCTCAAATCCTTGCGAACTGAAGGACTGTGGGTTCAATACCAAGGAGAATGAGGAAAAAGGACGAGTACCTCACATCACAGGTAATCTAAATGAATTGCCATGAATATCACAGATACAGCTTTGTCACCATGCAAGTTCCTCTCAAGTTACGCCAATTCCTCACTCCTCCAGTTATTCTTTAGAATATGTTTAGCTGCAGAATAACTGGAGTGCTCTTTTTCCTCAATCTCTGGTGTTAAACCAGAGTCCTTGAGGATGTGAGAAGACTGGAGCAGCTGATCTTCTCTAATCCTCAAAATTTGAAGGACTTTCAGTTCAATACTAAAACACTGAAAAAAGGAGATGAATTCACATCAAAGGCAATCACAATGATGCATCCATTTAAGATACAGTGCTAAGAATACCTTACTTCGTCACTTCAAAAAGCACTTTTCCACCTTCAGTGGTCCCATTTGCGTTTCTGGTTTAACATGGTACAATTTCAAACCATTCTCAGATTCCTCGCCATATTATCTAACCATCCACCATTATTTAACACCTGTAGTGGTGTTAAGATGTTTTGCTAGTATAATACAGCATTTTCTATGCATTTTTTTCATCATCTAG